CTGTCTCCTCAGTCCTTATCTCCTCTCCTGTCTCCTCAGTCCTTATCTCCTCTCCTGTCTCCTCAGTCCTTATCTCCTCTCCTGTCTCCTCAGTCCTTATCTCCTCTCCTGTCTCCTCAGTCCTTATCTCCTCTTCTGTCTCCTCAGTCCTTATCTCCTCTCCTGTGTCCTGCGTCCTCCCCTCCTAGATGTTGCTGAGACTCTGAGCCGTGGTCAGGGATCTCCTCTTTGTCTTCCTTGACAGTTTCCTCAGCAGTGACTCTCTGAAGGTCCGACACATCAGAAAGTAGATTATGGGGTCGAGGCAGACGTTCAGCGCAGACAGGAACAGCGTCCCCTCCTTGATCTGGAAAAGCAGGAACCTGGTGTCCTCGCTGAAGCCTGACCTCGACATCTGGCTCAGAGTGAAGGGCACGCGACAAACGTGGTATGGGACGAAGCAGATGAAGAACACCGCCAGGATGCTGAAGATGCTACGGTTGGATCMGCGGCAGATGTCGCCGTTGTCTTGGCGCACGCGGCGGTATGACTTCCACACCTGGTGGGCAATGGACGTGTAGGAGTAGGCCACAAAGACCATCGTCACCCAGAACAGAGACACACTGAAGAGGGAAGACACCTGGTGCCACTGCTTGCCCAGCTCACTCTTCAGATTCATGCACTTCAGGCCTTCCCTCYCATTGTCTGGCCAGTGAGTTAAGATGACGTTGGGTAGGCAGCACAGGAGGAGGAGCCCCCAGGTGAGACATGCCAGCACCCGTGCATATTTAGACCTCTGCATCAGCTGCAGCAGGGACACCCTGTTGTATCTGGACCAGCAGGAGGAGGTGGCAAATGTTGGAGACTGGTGGACCACCTTAACGTAGCGCTCGAGGCTGATAAAGCCGATGAAGAGAATCCCGACGTACATGGAGAAGTAGAAGAGCACGGCAGTGTAGCGGCAGATGATCGCTTGGAGGTACCAGCCCCCAAATCCCATGTTAGCCACCACTTTGAAGGGGTAGGATGACAGCATGAGGAGGTCAGCAACCACCATYTTCTTCAGGTAGACCACCAGACCTGAATCCGCAGGCACCCTGAAGAAGATCCAAGCAGCCAGGCAGTTGAGACACAGACCCACCACGAAGATGATGAGGTAGAGTGGGGGCAGGACCTGCATGGTGAACATGTTTTTGAAGTCTGATTGGTTGGTGGGGATTTGGGAGGTYTTCAGATGAGCCATACCTGAAAACAAAAAACACCAGAGGACCAAATAAATCCAATAATCCAGATGATTCTGTGTTCAAGTACCATGTCTACAAAACACATTGTTTCATTCAAGGGGGCCATGGGACTGGACTGGACTYCATGGATCATGGGGCGGATTACAACCTGCATTCAGTCTTGTGGGCCAGCTGGTCTCTGTAGAACCAAGGAGCTGGGTCAAAGTTCTGTTGCCARTAACCTGAATTTTGCTACTTTTAGCTAGTGTTTCAATATTTTCAGCTTCCTGTACTTCAGATAAAGTTTAGCTATTTTACTTARCTCTGTGCTTATTTCAGATCTTAGTTAGCTTGTTGCTACTTTCTAATGAYAACTTTGCTTCTTTTATGGATTGTTCTGCTTGTTTGAGTTTATTACCGGGGGTGGGGCTTTAGCAATGTGCAAGTYACACCTTTGATCTCTTTTTGTCATCCTTAGTAGAAGGCAGCCTGTGACCTGTGATGGTCCTGGTGTTCCAGTGTGAACACGACTGGTGTTCCAGTGTGACCACGACTGGTGTTCCAGTGTGACCACGACTGGTGTTCCAGTGTGACCACGACTGGTGTTCCAGTGTGAGCACGACTGGTGTTCCAGTGTGAGCTACGACTGGTGTTCCAGTGTGAGCACAAGTGGTGTTCCAGTGTGAGCACGACTGGTGTTCCAGTGTGAGCACAACTCCTACACTGGGTTTGCTCTTTGACTCATTGCTTTAATCTTTAGTTACTCAGTGCTGCTTCCACTCATTCAGGAATGTTTGAGAAATGCTAGAATCTGGAGCTGTCCAAAWCATCTGAACTATAATCTGTGTTAATCCATCTCCAGTAAAACTGAGTGAGGTCCAACATCACATGGTCCCTGTTAGAGCCTGAAGAATCAGCAGGTAAAACCAGGGTCCAGGTTCTGCCTGCGGGGTCTCCTCCTCACTCAGAAAATGTAGTTGTTCTTACAGCTCACATCAACAAATAAACACAGAGAGGTTTCCTTCTCGTCTAAAGTCCAACCTTTCATGTTCAGGAGCTGAAAGCTGTGTTTACAGCTCTTCACCGTTTCATCCTGGTCCAGAACACAAGACCCGGCTTCAGTCCTCTGTCCTGTAAAAACAGGACGGAGGACACAGGACAGGATGGAGGACGACTCCTGGCTGCTGCCTGGTTTCCTTTTCACAACAAGTTATTTCTGGGCTTCAAACCTGACTTCTGCTGATTGTTTCTGTTGTTAACCTCAGAAAAACACCCAGACGTGGGTTTGTACCAACTTAAAGACTTCTGAGGTTTACAGGAAGAGAGAACATGTTTCATCTAGTCCTGAAACAAACAGAGTCAAGACTTGTCTAGTCCTGAAACAAACAGAGTCAAGACTTGTCTAGTCCTGAAACAAACAGCGAGTCAAGACTTGTCTAGTCCTGAAACAAACAACAAGTCAAGACTTGTCTAGT